AGCATAGGAATCACTATGGTAATTGTGGTATAACATAATTTCAGAATAAGAATAGACCTGGAAGGGACCTTTGAGGTCTTCTAGTCCAGCCCCTTTCTCAAGCAGGAGATCCTATACCATTTCAGACAAGTGACTGTCCAGTATTTTCTTTAAAATTTCCAGTGATGAAGCACCCACAACTTCTGAAGGGAAGCTCTTCCACTGGGTTAATTGTTCTCGCTGTTAGGAAGTTTCTCCTTAATTTCATGTTTCTTCTCAACGTTGTTTCTTGTCCTGCCCTCTGGTGCTTTGGAAAATAAGTTGACCCCCTCCTCTTTGTGACAGCCCCTCAAATACTGGAATACTGCTATCATGTCCCCACCAGGTCCTCTAGACCAGGGATCCCCAACCTTTTCGATGCCGCGGCCCGGTTCCGACATCAGCTGGGCGCCGCGACCCGGTACCGGCGTCAACTGGGCGCCGCCATCTTTTTATGACGAAAAGGCGCTTCCGGTGAGCTTTCTACCCGGAAAAGCTCAGCAGAAGCGCTTTTTTACCAAAAAAAAGATGGCGGCGCCCAGCAACCAGCGGCCCGGTAAGGGTTGTTCCGCGGCCCGGTACCGGTCCGCGGACCGGCGGTTGGGGACCCCTGCTCTAGACTAGCAAAAACCCAAATCCTGCAACCGTTCATATGTTTTAGTCTCCTTTAATCATCTTAGTTCCTCTTCTTTGCACTTTTTGCCATCTCCATGGCAAAAGCAGAGGAAGAAACAGAAATCCAGAAAGCGGTTTCTTAAATTGTCTTCAATTCCAACACAGGAGTGAAGCAGTTTGAGGCTGCTATGCAGAAATGTCCTGCGTGTAATGGATCCAGCACATATACAGGTTGTTTAAATAATTGCTGCAGCTGCACATTGGGCTATTTTATAAACACTGTCAGCACAGTAAACTGTTTAGAAGGAACAAAGTTAACTCATAAGAGTTTAGATTTAAGAGCATCACAGGAAACTGCCTTTGTAACAGAATAGTAGACATAGAATAGACTGTTTCTTTCTATTTGATTTTCAAGGCCAATACAATATCAAGAGGGTAGGGAAAAGCAAGAAGCATTTTTTGTTGATACCAAATTCTACTGTAAGTACTAGGGCAGAATTCTTGGAACTGGAAGTCCACCCAACTTAAAGTTGCTAAGGTTGAGAATCCTTGCACTAGAGGAAAAATGTCTACCAAGCAGGTAAGCTGTTTCAGGATAAAATGATAACAAAAGCTTTGTTAAAACATCTGCTAATAATGAGCTGTTAAAGACAAAGAGGCCTTACCAGGAAAACAGAGCCCCAGAAGTAAATATTTGCCCAATACCTACTGATAAGAATATCCACCTCTACAATATAATTGCCACTTCCCAGATACCTTAAGAAGTATTACAGAAAAAATGCCTGGGATTGGGCCAGCTGGAATGAATGATGTCAAGGACTTTTGAAAATAGCTTACACCATTCTTCTATACCCTGGTGCCCTGGAGGTATATTGAGCCTACTATAGGGATTCTTAATTTGGATTATGTATGCATTTTCTAAGGGACGTGGTGGCTTAGACACTGAGCTTGTCAATCAGAAAGGTCAGCAGTTCAGCAGTTCGAATCCCTAGCACCGCATAACGGAGTGAGCTCCTATTACTTGTCCCAGCTTCTGCCAACCTAGCAGTAGAAAAATAGGGATCACTTTGGTGGGAAAGTTAACAGCGTTCCATGCACCTCTGGCGTTTAGTCATGCTAAGCATATGACCATGGAGATGTCTTCGGACAGCGGCTTTGTAACGGAGATGAGCACCAACCCCTAGAGCCGGAAACGACTAGCACGTATGTATGAGGGGAACCTTTACCTTTACCTATGCATTTTCTAAGGGAGGGAAAATTGTTTCATTCCATACCAAGATCTTCTTCGTGCGGGCTTTCCTTCTCTAATAGAAAGTGGCGTTCATTTTGCATGGGAGGGGAAGAAAATAATAAAGTCCCTTTTTTGTCACAGACTACTGAACCTTTCCACCATTGCTGTCTTAAGACAACATAAATGAAATGAAAAATTAGTGTTTCTGTGTAGAATTTGCAAGTATCAGTTTCATTTAGTGCGTAAATATTACTTATCAGCATATTCTGTGCTCATCAACTACCTGTAACTGAGATTCATGATCCACTCTTGATATTCCCTTTGTTGACACTAGCATCTGATAACTGTTAGCATCTAATAAAATAGAGCTATTTTACACAGCTTTTCCTAAAATTCCTTCTACCAATGCAAAACTATTCTCTCAAAACTGTATCTTTGTCCATTCATTAAAAAAAAAAACTATCACTGTCACACTTAAAGAGTATAGGTTCTGTAGAAATAATGTATGACATAATAAACTGATCTTTTGGCTCTTTGTTGCAGCGAAGCACTGCAAAGACCAATGAGAATTGGAATTGGAAGATGCCTGTGGATTATTCCTTTTTTGAATGCAGCATGGAGCTGCTATGAAATAAAGAATCTGTTGATCTGCAAACAGCAGTCTTTTCTTTTGAGCTTTGTATCCTCATCCCTGAGAATCAGACTGATTTTTAAACCAACTATTCCTCTTCTTTCAACTATTCCTTTGCCAAAGGAAGCAGGGTACAAAATAACCTGTGTTATACATTGGGTGTTCCGGGGAGCTTCCCCAGCTACAGTGCAAGAAAGAATTTCAACATAAATAGTCCAATCATTCCATTTGGCTTTACTCCTACAAAGCTATGCCCTATCTCCCTTCTTCCAGGCTCTGTCTACTTAGACAGCTATATAGGAGCTAACTTCATAACACTGAAGGAATTCATCTCATTCTCTCAATTAGCTGCCAGATGTGCTCTTCAAGAATAAAGAACAGTGAAGGACAAGTGCCCTTTTGGTGCCCCCTGCATGCAGGCCATCCATCATCCCATCAAGACCAAGAGGAGAGGCCAATTCCTTTGCTCCAGAATGATAAAGCATGTCACAGCTGTGTTTCAGTGCCTCTTCATTCTGGCATGGAACCTGAAGCATTTCACCCATCATCCAGGCAGGGTCTTTGATGAGCTACTGTTCTCTGTCCGTGGGAAACTGAAAGATCTATGCCAGGGTCTTCCAGCAATGCTGGGAGTAGGAACAGAGAAATTTAGGATTCAATTCAATAAATGAATGGAATGCTGTACTAGGGTTATGACAGGTTACCACAAAGCTCTCCCTTAAAGTAACAGTGCATATTTACAAAACCAAAACTTTCATGTGCCTGAAATTAGATGGCAAAGCCAGGATGGGATATTGAAAAAGATAAATAAATGGGCTAGAGAGTTGAAGACACCAAACTGGCTTAAATTCTATTTCTGGCATAGGATTCTTTTTCATCTAGGCTAGTCATTAATCCTTGGCATCAATTTCTCTATTCAAGATCAGTGGAGTTTAGCTTGCAAAATGCAATTCATATCAATATGACATCAATACTCTAAGAATCCTACATGTGTTATAGTTGCCTCAAACAAAAAATTACGATTAATTTCACTGTGTAAAACAGATAAGCAAGAATTCACAAGAAGGTCAAACTCTAATTCTTGCAGAATAATCAAAGACGAAAGAGTACTTTTACATGAAATTTGTAGTGGAAGATACAAAAGGCTCAATCCATTTTAAACAAAACATATTTTAATTATTAACTAGTATTAGCAAGTACCTTCACTGAATGGGACATAACCATTTGATACATTGGGGAGATATAAAAATGTGATATATCATCATTGCAAGGTTATGTGTTGACATAGAAAGGCTGACAATAAGCTAATATCCTAGAACACCAAGGGATCATCCTACGATAAATTGCTGCAAAATATTAAATTAACGTGAAGCAACTCATTCCTGTGTAGCACTAACTAGTACTGGAGAATATCAGAAATCAGAAACCAAATGCTACAACTCTAATCCAACATTAAATTGTATGAGTTTTGTGAAATGATAGAAAAAAGGCGCTGGCCTTTTCTCATTGAGTATCCACATGCCATAATCAGATATAACACTCTGTGCAATTCAATCAATCAATAGGTGAACATAATAGTGGCTTAATAAAAACAATTTTAACAATATGTGGATCCGTAAGTCTGATAACTCAAATCAACCTAGAAATCCTTTCTTATCTCCTACTAAATTTATTAAGACTTTTCAAGTGACTCTGTTGTAAGAAAGTAACACTATATACCATCACTTAGTCCACACAGTCCTAGGCTGAGCACCAACCTGTTTGTGACACTCATGGATAGACTAGTTTCAGTTTGTAAATGTTTCCTGCAACTGGTTCTTAAGCCCTGCATTTGTTTCCAGGTGCTAAAGTTTTCATGGTAATCAGCTAAAAAATCTGATCTTCAGATACTTACTTCATCTAGAAAAGAGAAACCTACAGCTAATTTTAAAAAAAAAAAAGATGTGATGCTTCTATGGTTCTTCTGTCCAAAAACATTTCTTCCTCATGCATTCTTAACAAAGGACTCAAGAAAGCAATCGCTAGTCCATGTCCTGTTCATCCATTCAGAAGCATTTCTCTTCAGTAACTGCCTAAGGCACAGCAGCTGATCAAAACAGAAAGGCAGTCTCCCCCCCACAAAAAAAGAGCTGGCAATGCTCACCAGTCCTGTACTTGCATGCTTTAATTCAGAGAATTTGGCTTCTGTGTGTGTCTACGGGTGCCTAGGTGGGGGATCTCCGGCTAGTGATAGTCAGGTCTAAAACCTCTGGAAATGGCATTAACTTGCTTTTTCAGTAACAGAACTGCTATAAAATCAGTTTTCCCACATTCTTTCCTTTAATTTTTGGTGGCTATTACAAGATTTCAGAGAGGAAAAACAAAAGTTATAAATTACTTCCAGGAATCAGTTAACAGAGAAGGATTCTTTGCTCTTAGCTTCAAGTGGGAAAAAATGTTTCCTCCCTGCAGAGATGTTGACCACATTTTACACCCAGAGAGAGTTGCTACTTTGTTTTCACTTACTTTTTAAGGAGGAAGTGGTTCTCTTTGAGCTTCTCCACTAGCTTCCTGGAAGGCACGAGAGTTGTGCTGCTACAGCAGGAGCAGCAGCAGCAGCAGCTTCCATGCTCTTGATGCTTTTGTTAAATTTCCCCCCCCCACCACCACCACTAGGTATTTCATTTAACTTGGGCATTAGCGACATCCCAAATGTTAAAAGATCTGAAGACATCTGTCCCTGGGGCATACCAATCCCTCAGAGAAAGAAGGGGTGGAATGTCTTAGCCAAATTCTTTCTAACATGTGCATGAAATCACTTAGGAGAACACATAAAAAGAGGCCATTAAAATGTTCACACCCAAAGCTTCTTTTCCTCTCGTTATGCTGTTGTTTTAAACTAATTCCAAGCTATGTAGGAATAGCATTTTCTAGGGGTCCCTGTTTGGAAGGTTAGATTGCCTCAGCCCTAGTGGTAGGAGTCATTTGCTGAATAAAAGAACTTCCAAGACACACAATGTCTCCAGCGCCTCTTGCTTTCTGGCTGCGAGACCCAAGGCTATCGGGCAAAAGAATGGATCCCGCCCCCCTTCAGATCAGCCCTCAGAAAAATGAGCCTGGCAGCTGGCTATTACTCTCGTATTAGTGATGGATTAAGCTGAATTCTTTGCCAATTAAGCCACATGCACAATGCCAAGCTAATAATCCAGTGAAAATTAACAATGCTTTTATTTTATCAGGTGTCTCTGTGTGTATGTGTGTGCACATACACACACCCCTATGAGGATATAGCAGTAGGATATAGAGTTTGGACTTTATAAACAGATTATCATTTCACATAAAACTTCTCTGGCAGAAAGGTTGATTTTTTTTGTTTTGTTTTAAATGCTCCAAGCAACTTGTTAAACTTGACCAGACTGCTCATCACTTCTTTCAGGTCTTTCATTGACAAGAATCATTTTGGGGGAGTGGGGGGGGAAACAAACCAGGATTGTTGCACAATGCCTTGTATGGTAGAATTAGGATCTGTGGATAATATCTTTATCAAGAGAATTATATCCTTCAATCAATCAGAATAGACCTGAAAGGGAGCTTAGAGATCATCTAGTCCAAACCCCTGCTCAAACAGGAGACTCTATACCAGTGGCCCCCGACCTTTGGGGTACCAGGGACCGATTCTGTGGAGAGAGGTTTTTCTGTGGACCAAAGGGGGTGTGGTTTCGTATGCTGCTTGTATCCCATGGATGGGGCTTCACTTGTTTGCAGAGCCCGGTTTCTGGCATGCCTTGACCCGGAACCAGTCCAAGGATTGGGGGCTGGGGACCCTTGCCCTATACTATTCAGACAGGTGGCTGCCCAGTCTTTTCTTAAAAACCTGTGTGCTATTGGGATTAGCAATGTACGGCTTGTATTGTACAAAGCTTCAGGTAGAAACTATATTTTAGGTTCACGGTATAGTTCTACCCAATGTCTATGCTGACATTAAGTAAAGTTTTTTCCCCCCTGTCATTCTTTTTATCCCCTTTCCTAGTCAGATAAGCCTAAATGCACTACAACAGCCCAGGACACCAGAGAAAGGAAACAGATCACCTCTACAAGCTCCTCCAACAAAATGGATACCCACTCGATTGTATCAAAAAGTGTCTGACCATTCAATGCGCTAGAATACAACCAACAGAAGCTATGAAAATGATAACACTACCAAACATCAAGAGCAGGGGTGGGATTCAATTTTTTTAACAACTGGTTCTGTGGGCGTGGCTTCGTTGGTGGGCGTGGCTTGGTGGTCATGTTATTGGCTGTGCGTGGTCAACTCAACATCATTCAAATCGAGGCACGCATCTCCTCGCCTGGCCTCTCATGACTGTGGGGATACTGCAACAGTCGTAAGTGTGAAAAATGGTCACAAGTCACTTTTTTCAGTGCCATTGTAACTTTGAATGGTCATTCCATACAAGCAAAGTACCAGCAAAGGAGGGGAAAAAAACTCCAGACAAGTTCCTGAGACAGGAAGTCTAGTCCTGCCAAGAACGTAATAAGGGTTAACGGAGAGGCAGCATCTGTAAGCAACACCAGAATGTTTCCTTCCTGCTTTCCTTACAGGATTAGGCCAGTAATTTCTTCTAACACCTGGTTCTCCGAACTGCTTATAATATTAACAACAGGTTCTAGCGAATAGTTGCGAACCGGTAGAATCCCACCCCTGATCAAGAGAATCTCAGAAAAAGCCAACATATTATGACAAACATGGTATCACGTAACACAGGGGTCCTCAACCACCGGGCCGCGGACCGGTACGGGTCCGTGGAGCACTCTGTACCGGGCCACAAAGAAATTTTTTTTAAAAAAATGGCGGCTTTCTTCGCCTTCGGTGAATGCTGCTGGGATCAGGGATCAAGGACACAAATGAAAGAAGGGGAGGGAGGAAGCAACCAAAGCCTGTCCTGCTCTCTGGCTCAGCAGCTTCGGTTTCCTCCCGCCTCGTTCCTCTCTCAGTCGCTCTCTCGCTGCTCCACCAGCCCAGGAAGAAACTGCTTCAAAGAAGCCGGGGGGGGGGTGGCTTTTCCTGTCGCCACAGCTCCTCGGAAGCGCCCGTTTACCCCCACCCCGCCCGCCCGCGTGCGCTTCAATTCAGTGCTCCGTTCTACCTGCCTGCCTGCCTGCCTTCGTTTCTGGTGAGAATAATAACTATTCGCCTCTTTTTATCAGCCGAAGCTGCTCCGAAACGAAGAAGGCCGGCAGGCAGGCAGAACGGAGCACTGGGTTGAACCGCGCGCGGGCAGGCAGGGTGGGGGTAAACGGGCACTTCGGAGGAGCTGCGGCGACAGGAAAAGCCACCCCCCCGGCTTCTTTGAAGCAGTTTCTTCCTGGGCTGGTGAAGCAGCGAGAGAGCGACTGAGAGAGGAACGAGGCAGACACCTGAGGGAGGGAGGGAGACACCTGAGGGATGGGGCTGAGGGAGGCAGGGCCGAGGCGCTCCCTGAACTTGGTGGTTTGCTGGCAGACGTTTTATTACCCGACTAGGTAACAACATCAGATGTTACCTAGTCAGGTAATGAAACGTCTGCAAGCAAACCACCAAACTCGGATTCT